CCAAGATGTGTTGGCATGAATGCAAGTATTTGATGATACGGAGGGGGAGGAGAAGAAGAATTTTTGTGACCAAATTCTGATTCACCATGGACAAGCACTGTAAAACCAGTGGAGTATGAGGGGGTGTAACCCCATAGCACAGTGCATCCTTTTCTATCTATTTTCTATTATGAATGCTATCTCCAAAGCAACAAGAAGATAAACCATAGTTTACATGTCATGTGTGAAGTGCTTACACTCAAATACCAGCATTTTAATGTGCTAATTTCATCAGTTATTTGCTGGCTTTTATTTGACATTTTATTCAGCCAGTTCTGCAGCCTTACTAAGTACAGTCTTTTTGCAATTATCTTCTGTTGTTCAGTGAATGCCCCCAGGCTAAGGTGAAAGGACAGATCAAAGTAAATGAAGATGCAAGCCCAGCCACACTGAAAGTTATGAGTCTGTTTGGACTGGAAAGGGAAGAGAACAGTGGTTCTCTTTAGGATTGCCTCCACCCTTAGAAGTGGCGTGAGGTGACAGAACCTGGCAGGTTGGGATTCCTCAGTAACACTGAATGTTGGTGTTTCTGCTGAAGTCTTTCATTACTACTTAACAGCTCCCACCCTCTAATGCCAGATTATTGTAGGGCTGAGCTTTTCACTCTGCTGTGGGGAATGCAGTGGTTGTCTTTTTTTGGACAAGGAACCTCACTGCAAACAGTGTTTTGTTTATTTGTCTGACTCCTCCCCATAGTAGCACACTGTCGTGGTGGGAGAGTTGAGAAGATGAGCCGCAGCAACTTGAATCTCAAATGGGAAACAGATGTTCAGTGGAGTTACTCAGTCCATGGAGGTGCAGTAGGACAGAGGTGGAGAGTGAAGTTGGGGACCAGGGTTTCTCATGCCTATTGCTTTAGTGGAACAACTGTTCTTCCCATCTCTGTAACCTTGGTGCATGATGACAGTGGTCAGCTTCTGGCAAAAAGCTGAGGACCAGCTGTAGAGGGCATCAGGGGGGCTAAGGAGCCAACATTAACTTTGCACCAGGTGGTAACAATTAAAGGAGAGATCCTGACCTGCACTGTACATGTTACTGCTCAATTACTCCCATATGAGTTCAGTTAATAAAGTTGTGGCCTGGAGAAAGCACATCCCTTGCACCTCATGTGCATCTCATCTCTCTTACTCGCCTCTCATCCCAGCTCAGAGATCAGCTCCCTGGCTAGTTTAATCTCTGTCACATTAGCCCAGATTCCACTGCATGACACAGGACAGATGGATCTGCACAGCAACAAAGGAGAACACACTACAATATTTTAGCCATCTTTTTCAATGTATTTTAGTATTATTTTAATTTCTTTTTCTCCCCTGTTTTTATGGCACTAGAATCCCCAAATCTGTGCCATTGCCTTCAGAAGTCCAGAATGATCTTGCAGTGCATCTTACACCATTGCCAGTGAAACTAAAACTACATCTGGATGATAATAAGATTTGGATAGTTACTATGTTGCATGTTACCCATCCTGGACAGTTTCCAGTCAGTGATCAGTCATAGCATTCTTATTTACACTTTAGGAAATTAGAATCTGCTGTTAAACTCAGAGTACAAGCATGATGCCTTTAAAAATCTACCATATTGTGACTCATGTTTTTTATTTACATAGCCTTTTACCAGAAGAAAGGACCTATAGGATAAAATATTTTCATATACAGAAATATGAATAAAGCATTATAAAAACATTTTTAATTACAGGGCATAAGACAGCAGATTTCTATCAAATATTTTAATACTACCTTTACCTTTCATCCCCCAAATGACAGACACAATAGAAGTTTTTCACTTTCTGCCAACATTTTCTGCCTATCAGTGTAAAGCCAACTCTGCATCAGATTTTTTAAAGAAAGTCTTTCCCTTGAGCATTTAATTTGTATTGGTTCCATGTTTAGTCAGTAGCTTTTGTAAAATTGATGAATATTGTCTAAAGGCAAGTGCAGACAGGCAAACAGATCTGTATCTTCTGTAATCCATTTAGCTTGACACACATGTGCAAGTGAACTATTTTACCTTAATTCTTTCATGGCTGATGAAAAGTAAATGTAAGCAAAGTCATGAACTTCACCATTTAAAAAGAATCACTGAATCTAATGTTAGAAGTTAATTTATGCTCTCACCTCTTCCCTGAAATAACTGCCCTTGGTCCTCCTGCCTCTAGACCATCCAGACTTTGCAAACAGTTGCTATACACAGAACAGCCATTAGAGGCTGTGTTTTGCAGCTCATCCAAAGTGGTAATGGGTTATCTAATGCTGGAATATAAATGGATTGCTAAAGTATCATTGCAACATGAGTTAAATTATAACTATTTGAATAAAATAAATAAAACTTCAAAGTATTTGTCTGCTTCTAGCATGCAATCCAAATGCAGTAATAATTTATACTTGATCTCTAATTTTTGTACACAAATATTTAACTGTGCTGTTCTCTGGAGGTATTCTTTGGCATTACTACATGCTTCAAATAGTTCCATCAACCTTACTCATGTCTTTGCTATCAACTCCTGTGAGCTTTGGAGATATGAAACCTTCTTATACTTCTGTATTTCAACTGAACTCAATCAAGTTGATGTGAGATTGGAATACAACACAGAGCATTAATCCTCTTTAACCACTTGATTATTGGTATTTTGCCAGTGAATCTTAGGTCTGATCCATTCCAAAGGTGTTTATTTGTCTATGTCATTGCCAACCATGGTTTAAACAGGTGCTATCTGACTGCACTGAGGCTACCACTAGCTTAGCTAATTCACTAGCTTAAATCCTCAGCACAGACAAGACCTAGAAACATGTATTTTCCAGAATTCTATTATTGCTGCCAGCAGTCTGCTAATATAAAAAAACCCAGTGTTTTTTTTCACTAGTGCTGGAAATAATTATTTGCCAATCATTTTTTAATAGCTATGCCTCCACTTTAGCTACGAACTACAACATTGATGTGCCTTCTCTACCCTTTATGGCTGTCAGATTAATTTCAATACTGTGATCCCCATGGTTTCTAGCAGTGCTTAATTAAACACAAAATAATCATAAAGCAACAGCATAAACAAACAAACAATCCCCTCAAATGCTGTGTTAACAGAGTTACATCATTAACTTGTTTTAATTCATCTTTCTCATTTCCAAAGTAATATCTGTTTCTGAGAGAATTGCCTTTTCAAAAGCAGAATTCCCACATCTTCAGCTAGCTTTTCTCTAAGTGATCTCCAAAGTAAACAGTATTTAGTGTGGCATTAATCCAAATATATGCTATTTGCCCACTGGTAATGGCAGCTTTAGCTAGTACAGGGAAAAAAAAAACTATGCCCATAGCACAGTATTTCAAAATGTTAAGAAATCTGTGCACATGAGACAACAAATAAATGTGTGGATCTATGTTACAATATAACCAAAGCTACTAGTAATTTATTCTTCAGAGAGTCTTTATGTTCTACAGGGTGGCTAACAGTTTTAGCAGAAGTCCAGTACTCCAATGAAAATGCTTGATGAGGGTCTTTTTACTTTTGCTGGCAAAGCTGTGTCAAAGGTGGTAAGAGGTACAATCTCTACTTGATGGAATTGTCCTGGCAAAAGCTGGTAGGTGTGAACACAGTTTTGTACCACTAAAACTGATTTTTTTGCTGGCACAGCTTCTTAAGCTCCAGGGAGGTCTGGCATATGTCATACAGTCAAAAATAGCGTTTTGGGCAGTCCAAGCCTCACCCACACACAGAGCACTTGGCCAACACACTACACTGGTGTGCTCTGGGTAGGCCTGGCCTCAGCACTGACTTTTAACAGAGATTAACACAGGAGGCATATTCATTTCTTGGTAGCAAAGTCAAGCTCTGAGTCTTACTGGTTTCTTTTGTAGTGGTAAAAGAGAGTGCTGTTTCACCAGAATATGATTTTCTTCTGCTTTTTATGGCAAAGGAAAAGGCATAAACCAGCTCAAGTTAAAACAACAACTTAGCCAAATGAAAAAACTCTCTCATTCAGGAGTGCCCTGTATCGTCCAACACAGAATTGTTCTTTTTATAGCATGTTATTGCAAAACAGATCACAAACAGTGTGACTTCTAATAGTCTTCTGGTTCTGTTCTCAGAGATCTCACTAGGTCAACACAGATGTTGCAATATCCAGCATCACACAACTTAAATCTGTTGTCAGGGGACTTGACACCCCAAATGAAAACTCTTAGGTTCATCAGCTCTTTAGACAATGCACTGGGAAACCTGGCCTCAGAACAGGATTCACAGCATGCAGAAACAAAGCAGTGGTACAATTCTGAGTTCCAGGGAGCTCAGGAAGTAGATTCACACTGTACATGTCTCCCAGTACTATTCAATTGCCATGAGGAAAACCAGCAGGAACGTCTGGGAGCTATGTCAGGATGCTCCTCATCTGAAAAAATACTCTAACCCAAGAAGGGACTGGATAAAAGACTTTCTCCACCATCTCTTGTACCTCTGTTTTAGTGGATGAAGAAGTCACTGTACTGTGTGCACAGCTCCATCCTGGAGGTATCCAGCAGGCTCACCCCAAGCAGACCTGTCATTTGGATGCCCAGATCATGGATTCTGCTTTGTGGCAGGTGGGAGCTAAGCCTTACATTGCTCAAACCTGCCAACCCAGAGGCAGTTCTAGACATTCAAGGAAGCTGAAATTTAGACATCAAGGGAACTTGTGGAAACACAGCTAACCATGGATGATAGGGTCAATGGGATTTAGAATGGAGGAGGAAAGAACTGAGGCTGGTGCTCTGGCTTTAGGTCTTAAAAGCCACCATCTTCTGTAGATTTGGGGTCCTGGTCTTTTTTATCTTAACACAGTGACTAAGGTACTGTCTGATGACTAGTAAAATCTGCAATTAACACATTAAATAACACATGATCAAGAAATCATAAAGCTGAAAAGATTTATGTTAAACTAAAATGCCCACATTATGAACATCAATAATTCTAGGCTGGAAGGTCACCTGTTATTCTACCACTGAACAAACTTTTGTAGATAAGCAATTATTTCTTCAAGATCATATGGCAGAGGCATGTTGCAATCATCATCTGTCCAGAAGGGATGGCATTCTGGTTTCTGGTCTTCTGGCAAGGTCTCTGCTGCTTCTGACTGGCATCTGAAAAGGAAGGAAAGCAGATGAACTACTTAGGTGAAACTGTATCAAGAAACTGAATACTCAGCGAGGATAGATTTGTGCATTAATTTAAAGAGAAAGATGATAATAAAAAAGAAATACCACATCTTGTGACCAAATGGATTGTACATTTACAGAGAAGTTGATTTCTGTTGTAGACTTTTTATTTTCTATAGGGATTTCTCAAAAAGCCAATCACAGAGAAAACTCAGTTAGTGTACCTTTATATGGTGAATTATTTTTTCATTATCTCAGCTGTTATTTAAAGTATGTGATTAAGCCATTATCAGATTTAAATGTTTGCCAGTTTCCAATGTATTACTAGATTATTGAGAAAGATTAAACTGAATTTACTGCATTAAGGTCAGGGGGGATAGATTAAACAATATTAAAGAAGTCGGACTAGCTTTGTAGATTCTGGAGATTTACAAGTGTATCAACCTGCTCAGCTCTGAAAAAGGCAATATAAAAAGAGAAAATTCTATAAAGATACATGGAAATGGAGGTTAATAACAACTTCCAATGATGAATAGTTGGGCAAAACTTCAATGAAATTAAATTAAGAGGTGAGTGTATGTTAGTCTCCAGAGAAAATGTTCAAATTACAGTGTTTTTTATTAAATGGATTATTCATCAATACTAGAGAAGTCTAATTATAATATTCAGCTGAACTGCAACCTGCAGAGGAAAGTTTTATAAGTGGCAACCATCACATACATCTCTTAAGAACAGGCTGTAGTACAATATGCTGCATCAAAAAAACTGTTACAGTTCAAGGAGGATTTCTTTCCCTCAAACAACTTGTTACTGATTAATTACTTCATGTTTCCAATGGGGCAAGACAAAGAAAAATGCTAAGCATCACTATAATTGTACTGCATACTGAAGGTTTACGCAATTCTTCAGAGATAAAAAGCAAATTGTAGAAACACTTTTATGTCCTCTAAGATGTTTCTTAAAATCCATGTTCTGTAAAGCACATAATTTAAACACATATGTGTCTGTCATCTCTGTAAAATGAACTTGAAAAACATTGATACATGCAACTTCCTTGTCTACACGGTCAGCCTTCTGGAAGGGACTGTTTCCAAATGAAAGATGTCTTCTTCTCTTGGGAATTATTAATGGCAGTGTAATCCCCATGAGAAAACATACTTCAGCTTTACACCCATGTTGGTGTGTGGTTAATTGCTGCAGCAGCATCCTGGGCACTCAATCCATCGTACATTACACTACAAGGACAGTATTAACACATAACATTCCAATATATCTTCAGCTCTCCACATCAGCCCCTGATAATAGCATCTGTTAACATGCACTAAGTACTATTATGTAGCACATCACTTCATAAATAATAAGATTAGCCGACCTCAGGGCCCTGGGAAGAGTAATGTGTTTAAATGTTCTCATTATTTATTTAAAACAAGAATTAAAGGAACAGAAGCTACTTGTGACAATCCTCTTAGCATAAATATTAAACTGTTTGCATTGATAAGCTGCACTGTACAGAATAACAGAGGATTTGTTTTGCCGGCTGCTTTGTAATAGTTGTTAGAGCAAATGCAGTTTAGTGTATGAGTTCTGAGAGGTACTTAACTGATTGTGCCATCATGTTCTGAAGACATTTTCCAAATTATATAAAGGAACAGGAGAAAATTAATATGCAGGGAAAGCTGAAACTAATTACAGCATAACTCTATAAGGCTTTTAAAATCTTGCTTTATTTTCTGTCTTGGCACAAAATAATACACACAATTTGCTGGGTAGTATAAGATATTCCAGTTTAAACATTTCAATCTAAAAGTGGATAAATTAACCATGTAGAGATTATTGCAGATGACAAATCAAGAAGCTCAGCTGGTAAATACTGCAGGAATATTATGTGGTCTACAAAAATCAACTGATAATATCCTCTCTCACATACATCTGCTATTAACTGCAGAATTTTCACTGAGAGGAAAAACGTACCAACTTTTAGCTTCTTCACCATTTCAGAGTCCTAGAGTCTTTTTCTTTCTTTTTTTTTTTTTTTTTTTTTTTTTACTTTTCCTTTCTCTTTTTTCCTTTGCTGTCTCACACAAACAGATTGACCAGTTTTCCCCTCGCATCCATGGTTTGGGCATTTGTTGCTGTAAATGGGGCAGCAATCACAGTCACAACTATTGTAGTTGCTACATTCCCTTCTCTATTTTTCTTCCCAGCAGAGCCACCTCTGAAAGGTCACCCCACAACTAAGCCCATGCTTTAACTTCCAGGCTATCACGGAAGTTTTAGCCATATCATTTTCCATGGGAGGGATTAGAGGAATAGAAGTGTGTCAGATCCTTGGACTTTCTGCACAAATCTGATGACAGAAATGCATCTGTGTACAGCAAAAGTACAAAAAAGGAGAAAGCAGTGCCTCAGTATTCCTGCAATCCAATGGCCCCTTTGTCTTTCTGTCCAGGATTTCTGTTGCTTTCCTGTATATATAACAAGGAAAGCAGTGGATGTTGCATTTCCACATTTTGTGAGTCACCTCTTCTGATCAGCACTGTAATCCCTGTGCCAGGTCCACTGCCACCCAAGTCAATGTAAGTTGCTCATATCTGAAGGTATGGGGCTGGGTTCTAAGCACTCACTGCTGCACCTGGCAGCTCACGAAGCACTTCACCTGAGTGGCACCCACTAGCCTGAGTGCAGCCACCCAAATAAGGGCTTTCTGACTCAGTGTGCAAGAGCAGTCCTTTCCAGATGAGAATATTGCTATTTACATTAATAATGTTCTGTGCGACAAGTTGTGGCTACAATGCTCTTTAATTTGTAGCAGAGTAACAAACCTGAAGACCCTGCAAAAGGTTAGCAACATTTTTAACTGAAGCAGAACAATCAAAGGCACTTAAGTAATTGCACTGAGTTGTTTCAAATTCCTTTGTATCTGGAAAAAGTTAGCTAACATAAGTTAGCAATGATAACTGGGAATAAACAGAAATTCTCTCTCTTCCCAGATATAAAAGAATTCATGAGGCTCCACGTGGGAAACACTGCAAACATCAAAGTATGATAGTAATGGGAAAGTACCAAGATTTATAATATTGTAAGTTAATTAAAATATTATATATTAAATTACAATCTGCTACTTGAGTTAATAAAGTCAAATCTGCAAAGGAGAGTATATCTGAGCTGTGTATGTTGCATGCACAAAATGTATTAAGAGTGGAAATAACACATGCTCTGAGATACAGAACAGATGCCAAATCAAGTGGCATCTTTCATACCTTATTTGTAGCAGAACAAAAAAAAAGTGCCATGATATATTTCAGAGCAATTTAGCTCTGACATATTAAAGAAAGAATAATTTGTCTAAAGATGTGCAGAATGCACAAAACTCCATGGTCCCTACCATCTTGCTAAAAACAACCAAGACCTGTGCCAGTTCCAATTAAAAAAAGCTCAATTTTAAGGAACAGTTACTGTTGCAGTGCCCATTCCCCCTCCCTCTGTCCTGCAAACTTCATAGATTTCTGATCCCCTTTATGTCCATTTTTGCCAAACAGACTTTGCTCTTTATTACGTTTAACTAAGTCACGCCAAACACTTGCATGTCTATTTGTATGACAGCACAGGAGTCTTTCCCTTGGAAAATGGCTGATCTCCCCCTGGGCAGGTGCACCTGCATGGAGACAGGCAGTTGCCTGGCTCTGGCCCCCTGGGCTGCACCGACAGTTTGATGATCAGGCTGTCAGCTACATTAGAAAACACTGATCACAATGCTAAAATTAACCAAGCTAGCTAAAGTGTGTGTTAATTATGAGTATGCAAGCAGTCAATAAAAGGTTAATGCAAAAGTCAAAGGATAAATTTATTTCAGTATTGCATCACTCTACTGACTAAATGACTAACATTATGCTTTGTTTTTAATCGATATATTTTACAGTAATGTGTGAGCCATTGATTTGAAAAACAGTCTTCTTTCTAACAGTTAAGGTTTGCAACTACTAAGTATCAATATACTTAAAACCCTTTTTTTCAGAGCAGATACTGTTTTGTTCTGTTGTCACCAACAGGAATACAAATAAGCCAGAAGGCAGCCTCAGGTTCTGCTGATGAATGTGATTAATGCAAATAAGAATTATTACCTAGGAACCTAAATAAGGAACTGTGAAATAGGGTCCCTGGATTCCATTGCACTGTTTGTCTACTCCACAGAAGTGTAGTCAAATCAGATCAATAGGGGTCAATTTGTGGCTCAGACTGCACAGGCGTGTTAAGAGAGAGGAGCTGATGTCAACAGACCTGTTTCCTAGATGGTACTAATTTAGCTGCCTATCCCTGGCACTTCAAAGACCAATGGAGATTGTGTTGAACTTCATAAGGTAAGCCACAGAACATAGGTCTGGAACATAGATCTTCCCCATGTACTGATGCAGTCAGAAATGGAGGATGGGGTGTTTGCTCCGCATGTACAAAAGAACACACCTATACATGCTTACTCCAGCATTCCTGAAGTAGTAGCTTCTTTAGACAGTAGCTTGAATTCTTAAGATTCAAAATCTGACTTTGCAAATCTGAGTCTGATCAAATATGACTTATCACTGTCCCAGCACAGAGCTCTGCTGTGTGAACACAAACCCCAACAGTACAGGTACCTGGTACATCGAGGTTTGCTTGCAGGTTTGAATTTTTTCATCCTTGTCCTTCAAACCTTTCCTCTACCTGAATATTATAATGCAAACTAGGTGTAGTTACTCTAATCTCAATGTTAGGATTATCCCATGTCATTTCAATCTCACATTCTCAGTTGCCAGAGCATATGCAAGAGAATACAGTGCTTTCTCAATATCTGAATTGTTATGCAAAGCACAGAGAAAATATAAGATTACATAATGAGAACCATTACTCAGATATGTTACCTTGATTTTTCTTTTTTCTAAATAGACTCATTGATAGGCTTGACAAATTTACTTCTGCTGCTGAATGCATCACAACTAAAACCTGATGCC